AACAGGTTCGATGGCGTAGACTTCACTGTGGTCGTGCGCCCTTCCATTCCAGTGGAGGATCGCTCGGGTCAAATGCCCAGGTGCCGGCTACCACGGTCGTCCAACAAAAACGGTCAGGAATCACACAGCCCCAGTGAAGACAGTTGCCATCTCGGTGGAACCTCCAAATTGTCAAAGTCAGATTCAGGACTCACAATTTATTAGACCACTCTGTTTATTAACACAGTGCTCTGCTAATACACTCAGATAATGTGAGCACCACGCAAGACCCACACTAGCTTATTTTATACAGATAAAAAGGGCACAAACTTAACAAGAGGACAAAGAAAGCAGAACTATCAAGTTTACCTGAGGCTAGACATACATATTCAATTTCCTTACTAACTTTTACAGATCTCCAGTTTATGTTCCACGATTAGCTTAAGAGGACTCATTGTTTATGCCTTAATGTTTCTTTTCCTGACACCTGTATTTCAACATTCCTTATTTCTGCTTAAAGGTACATACAGCATTTGTTTAATCCATTCTATTTTTACAATATAATTCATTCTACTTTCACATGAGAATAGTCATTTCTCTAGAAACTGACCAAATGCTTCATTGCAGCTACTTAGAATCAAACAAGTACATTGAATATATGAATATTGGCTCTTTTTGGACTGCCGCTGCAAATTGAGTGGATGTTGAGGGACGGGGTTCATCCCTCCCCACTCTCCAGTCCCGCAGTGTTTCTCATTTCAGCGCTGCCGAGAAGTTTCCCACTCATCACGGCTGACCGGTCCCCACCGCTGGCATCCTCCGGCTGCGTCATCTTTGCCAGCTCCTGCATTTCCTGCACGGGGCTTGCGTCGCCGGCCTGCTGGGACGGGGCGGCTCTGGCACGGAAGCCAAGACAGCTGCGGAACCAGTCTCTGCAGTGAGCTTTCTTATTTCTCTGCCATAGCCCCAGTGCCAACACCAACACCAGAAAGGCCACCACTGTCCCCACCACCACCGCTACAATATGGGTGGACTGAGATCCGGGCTCTGCAGCCAACGACAGGAGAGCAGCGTTAGTGGGAGAGTTGGACAAAGCAGGTGAAAATTTCCAGCCTCTCTACCATGCTCAGCGTTCCACCCCGGCACACAAAAGGGATTTTTCAGTTCAAGACGCTCCACAGTCCCCGGCTAATCATGGATTTGCCAATTTTCCTGGGGCTCCGAGGTGCTACCATAACACAGCTAATAGATACTGTACAGTGTCTACCGCTGTGGGGTGCTGGGCCATGACTGGGGTGCTAGGCACCATACACTTTAGATTAAGGTTCACTTGATAGCTGGTTTATAAAGCATTTGTACATGGTGAATATGCAGTCTCAGCATACTAAACACACAGGTAAAGAGTGTGCTTGTCTACACAGGGCCACTCAAGAAAACTAATCAGAATTGGCTTTTAAAATGTATTAGTTAAACCAAATTAAACCCCTGTGTGGACACTCTCCTTCAAAATTAAGGCAGCCTGAATTCTATTTAGCTTAATTCACTTCCAGAGTGAATTGAATTCAGGCCACTTCAATTCTAAATAAGAGTGTCCAAACAGGCGGGGGGAGGAGGGGCGGGAGGAAGATGGGGAGGTGGAGCAATGCGGTTTAGCGAATCCACTTTAAATTCAGGGCAAGTCTCTACTACAAAATTAAGTCGACCTAAGTAATGTCGACGTACAGACAGGACAGTAATTAAAACCCTTTAGCATGTCCACACTGCGCCCCTTGTGTCGGCAGCGCGCGTCCTCACTGTGCCAGCGTGGGGCATTGTGGGACGGCGTCTGAAAGGCAGCAACAGGCGATGTCGTTAGCGCCCCTGTATCGATCTAACTGCATCCACCCAAGCACTAGGCCTCGCGCGGAGCTGGAGTTATTCTGACGGTTCGGCGGGCGAATTCCATGGGTGGGAGCTGCCTTTCAGTGTAGACACTGACAGTTAGGGTGACGTAAACTGCCTTATATCTACCTAACTCTGTAGGGTAGACCAGAGCCTGCACTTTGACATGATTCGGATTAATTTTCCTGAGTGGCCCTGTGTAGACAAACCCTGCAGCCACCATTCAACCCTTTCTAAATTACTTCTATGTGGAACCTCAATATAAAGTGTCACCCAAGAAATCAAGTCATAAATGGGCATGGACGTGGGGTTGGGGGCCAAGTGGTCAGTACCTGGAGGTTCTGCTCCACCCACTCTACTCCTTGCCCTACTGGCTGATGGAGAAGGGATGTAAAGCCATGGACGGCTCTCTCAGCGGGAGACAGAGATCTGACCCTGCTACTCCCAGCCCTGCTGGGACCAGGGAACACAGAGACCCTCCCTCCTGGTTGCTTGTTGGCCTCTAGCTGACACCGCACTGTTCCTTGCGGTCTGGCCTGTCCATGCCTGACAGGAGCCAGGCGGGGCAATCTGCCGGGGACCCGGGCAGCAGCCAGAATTAGTTGAAGATCCCAGCAGTTCGGCAGCCCGTTCCCAGCCCCGTTACTCACCCCCTGCTGCCATCCAGTTGCTGACCAGGGCCACCTGGGAGACCGGAGCTGAGGTTGGCGCAGGCTCTGGAATGAGACAACGCAGAGGCGGTTGCAGCGAGCGGATGCAGAGTCCCAGGAGGTCAGGGGAGAGGAGTCCCATCCCCTCCAACTCCTTAAAATCGTCCCCCCAAATGCCGCTTTGCAGAGTGAGAGCAGGGTTGGGCCGAGACGGACTGCGATAGAGCGTCCGGGCCCGCCCCCTGCGCTGAGCCCGAACCAGTTACCCTGGACCCCAGCCCTGGCAGGGGGTTTGTCCAACCTGTTCTTAAAAACCTCCCATAACAGGGTGTGACAATGCGGTTCTGGCGGAACCCAACTGAGAGTGCCAACTCAGGACAAATTGCTCAAATAGGGC